GTGTGCTGAGAGTATTAGAGACGCAGTAAAAATTAATTCAAAATTACTTGTACTTGAAATAATGATGGAAAAGCTGAAAACTAATTATGCAAATCAGAAAATTAAAATGAACAGATTTGAGTTTAAAACTAATAAGGTCTGCACAATGTAACAGGCCATCTATGTACTAAGTTTCATTGAAATGTGATCAGAACCAAAAAATTATGAATTATTTTGCTAATTAGGCAATTAATATGAACAGATTTTAACCCAAAACTGATCATATTTGTACATTGTCCTAGAGCATCTATGTACAAAGTTTCATTTAAAGGTGATTATTAGTGAAAAAGCTGAAAATTCAATAATTATGCAAAATAGCTACTTAATATGCACAAATATTTATCCCAAAACAATCGTCTCTGCATATTCCTTGAGTATCTAGGTACCATGTTTCACTGAAATGCAATAATCACTACTTGAAATATCAAAAGCTGAAAATGAATTTATTATGCAAATTAGGTAATTAATATGTACTGATATTACCCTAAAAACTCCCAAGTCTGTGCAGTGTCCTATGACATCTAGGTACCAAGTTTCATTGAAATGTGATGACTAGTAAAGCCGAAAATGTACTAATCACTATGCAAATTAGGTAATTAATATGCACAGATTTTCACCCAAAACTAATCAAAACCTGGCATTAGTGCAGAGCATCTACGAACCAAGTTTCATTAAAATCCAATGATATGATATTAGATATCAATGGGACAGCTGAAAATTAGCTAAGTATCATGCAAATTAGGGAATTAATATGCACGGATTTTTACTAAAAAACTAATCAAATCTGCGCATGAGTTCAGAGCATCTATGTGCCAAGTTTCATAAAAATTCAATTAGTGGTTCTTTAGATATCAGTGGAAAAGTCAAGGAACAGCTAAAAATAAACTAATTATCATGCAAATTAGGTAATTAATATGATGGATTTTTACCAGAACCTAATCACATCTGCGCATTTGCATCTATGCACCAAGTTTCATCAAAAACCGATGTATGATTCTTGAGATAACAGTGGAACAGACGGACACACACACACACACACACACACACACACATACACACTAACTGGCCCTAACTGCAAAGACTCCCAGTGTGTGCTTTGCACACGGGAGTCAAAAACACACCGCTACGCAAGTTGTACGAGATATCAAATATTTTAATACATAACAATAATGCAAATACGAAAACTAGCAATTATAGAACTACAAAATCAAGAAAAATTTGGGCAGGGGGCTCCTTTGGTCTGACTTCCTGGGGCCAAGGTCAAGGTCGCTGACCTTGAGTGGCAAATTTTGGTCAAACAAGAGTGCTGAGAATGGAGGTTGGCCACCTTGAGAATGGTGGCGGTACTCTTGAATGGGGGGGGGGGCAGGATGAAATCCTCATACTTACTACTACGACTATTTTCTCCCAGTGTCAGGACAGATTGGCCATGAGAGGGCGCTAGTCATGTCAAACCTTACAATTCTTCACCAGACTACACACCCACTCACTAACACACAGCACACAATAGCAATATGGTTAGGTTGCAGGATGTAGCGACCGCCAATCCAAAACAACTAGACGGTTTAAAACAAGTAATAACGATAACATAACTAAGAACAAACATGAATAATTCAATGAAACTGAAAACAATAATACACAAATAAAAACTAAATGTGTTTATATAGATACTTGTATCCTTTTTTATGCACACAGACCGCCCAGAAAAAGAAGAAAAAACAGATAAAAACTGCCTTGGGGAAAATACAGCTAGAAACCTGTGTTCGTCACCTTGTCGTGCGCGCCAGGGGATGAATGTCTGGTTTCATCCAGACCAAAATACTAGTAAATTACACTACTAAAAAATGTTTAAGGAAAACTGAACCGTGTCTAGTCCAGCGTAGAATGAATTACTAATACAGACTTCTGTTTTATATACCCACAAATCACGTGCCTGACATAAAGGTTATGATTGGATCAGTGTTAAAATAATGTGAAGACAATAGTTTCCCGCTATCCACTCACTGACACACCATGCACGATAGATATATGGTTAGGTTGCAGGATGTAGCCAACATAAAACAATAAAAGAACAAGTAAAAAAAAAGGTTCGTCACTCCCCAAAATAGAATACTTCTGTTGTATTGCCAATGCGGAGCCAAGAATAACTGGATTGTTGCATTCACGAGCTCAGATAAGTTTTCCATGTGACAAACGAGGAAAACTATCTGCCAAAAAAACACAAAAAAACAACAAGTCAAATGAGTCTCGATCAACACCATTTCATCATGGTTTACACCACTTACTAAACCTTATATATATATATATATATATATATATATATTATATACACCAGTTATGTAATGTTACCAAAAGCGTCTTACCACTACACGTACCGTTATGGCGTCTCCCACTATGTATCGCATTAACACGTGGAAGTATCTCACAAGCACTACAAAACGCACAAAATCATCCTATAGGTCAGATATTTGTATCATGGATTAAAATAATTCAACGTTTGGTTATTATGTTCTCGATATTGTACAGCGAATACAAACTAAAGACTATATAA